AAATGCCGGCCAGGAAATCTCATCCTGCAAAATCTTAATACAACTCGGCCTCCAGAAAGGAATTCCCTTCTCATTCTTTAAACAGAAGAACAAAAGAATACAAATATGTATTTTTCTTGGATTTTCCACATTCACTAAAAGCTTATTACTATCTCTATTGGTTTCCTTCCCTTTAGTATCTGCAAAACTCATGGATAATCCATACATTATCTCCCCCGCACAATCGAATGCTCATAGTTTTCATCATATTCGTCTTCATTTCCTCCAGAAGTGCCTTCCAAATGGAATGGGCCTTCGGGCGAGCCCGAATGCAAACGCTTTCGTGATTCGTTGCAATGTTCTTCGGGCATCCACACTCCAACCGATTGAGAAGAAGAGTTTCCTGAGAGCCTTCGACTGTGAAGACGATATTTCTGAAATTCGAATCAACGTTTCAACATGAGCATTACTTTTCCAAGAGATCAAAATATCTACGAATATCAATATATAACACGAGTAAAAGGACTGAAGATCGAAAAACACACTTGCAAATGACTCTTCACTTCATCGTTGGTGAGGCCGTCAACTTGCATAAGCTCTCTAATCTGCTTCGGGGTAGCAACTGTTGAATACAGAACAAGAACAAGTTCATCTCAATTTCCACCATTCTCGAATTGTATAACAAATAGAATCCATACTGTCCTCAAAAATGCCAATGAAATAACTGATTATAAGTATCATATCAAGAAAAACCTACAGAACACCTTGCTAATCTTTCATCACAAAATCAATCAAGCTTCTTTTCGAACAAAGAGTAAACCAAGAAAAGGTTCTAAAAAAATTGTATTAGAGTTTTCGAACCTTGGGCGCCTCCAAGCTGCTGCAGGGCATTGATAAACTGGCGATGCAAATCAGGCGACCAGCACCGTCTTTGCTTCCTAGCAGATTGATGATCTCCGGTCCTTAAATTCGATTGTACATTAGCAGATGAAGGAGATCCTGATCTGCTGGAACACGATTTCGGACTGAAACCAATAGAATTAAGTCCTTCTATCGAGCTTTTCAGTTCAGGTGTGCATAGAGAGAGATTCGGAATGGGAAATTCATGCCGGTCATCTTTTCCTTTTGACATCACCGGAAAATTAGTACAACCGGCAAAGGGTACCAAGGGCTTTACCACTGTCCTGCTTTTAACATTCTGAAACAAATTCATTTCCTCTTCCGTTCTCTATTCATAAACGAAAGGAAACACGAGGAATCCGTAAGTAACACATACAATCAACAAACAGTAGCAGTGGAAAGCAAAAAGGATGTGATAATTCATACTTTTCTATTGGTATCGTCGAGTTTTAAGGTGAGTTTGTCGCTGTTAAGCTCGGTATCTGGAGAAGGATGATCGTCAGAGTTCCATAACTGCACAGAGCTCATCCAATTCATTTTATCTCTGCAGCTATCTTCCCTATCTCGACGGCTCTCGACTTTATCAAATCCTTCATCTCTACAGATCCTTTTCATGGGTATGAATTCTTCCAACACAGGCTCAGCACTTGATTTCCTGCACTGAGCTAATTCATCCTCGGTCGCTACAATTGCTGACAAAGTACAACAATAAATCGAAGCTAAGCAAACAGCAAATGAATTTCAAACACAATAAACGCATGATGATCAACACCACACATGTCAAACAAAAACAAATCTGCAAGAGCGAAAAAAGGGGCAAAATCGCAAGGATATGATACAAAACCTACATCGAAACAAACCAACCGACGCGGAAAAATAGAACATAAACGGAAAACGTGCAAGGATCTAACCATCTCGAAGGAGGAGCAAGCACAGAGGAAGCTCCCGCTTGAAGGCGTCGACCTTCTTCATCTCATCTCGGAGCCTACTGGCGTAGTCCTCGAGCTTCAGAATTTTCTCGGACACGACGCGGATCCTCGAGACATGCGGCAAAGTCTCGCCGCCGATTGTCCGCCGGACGCACGATTTCGCCGTGAATTTGAAATCCGAGCTGAGCTCCGGGAGAATCAGCGATCCCATTCCTCCTTCGGCGGATCTCAGATTTTTGCACGAGATCGATGAATTACGCCGGCGTGAATCAGTGTGGATTTGGGGGGTTTAGAGAGAGAAAGTGTGGGAAAATCGCAGGCGAAGATTCTGTTCGTAGAGAGATAGAGAGAAATGGAAAGCATTTAAAAAGGCGAAAAAGATTCTGTTGAGCAACGCCGAGTTTTGACAGAGCTTTTTCAAGGCGTCGCATTTATTTTATTTTATTCTATAGATATTTTGTTGAAATAATATTTTGAAAAATAATTTAAAGTTTATTATTGTCAACCATTCTTCAAAGTTTGCAACGTTAGATTAATTATATCTGACGGTTACATGATGATCTAACGGTTATAAATTCCGACGAAATAGTTATGTAACGGGATCTTAGCATTTATCATCTTTTGGGGTAAATTATTACTTTCCCATGATGAAAAATAGGATTTTAAGGGATTTTTGTCTTAATATCTTTTTTTTTTTGCTTTTATTGCTCATAATATTTTATCTTTAATGCTAGGACATGGCTATGGGATTTATAGTAATACTAGGGAGCCAACAGCCAATGGAACAGCTTCATATGGGGCTGTCCCACATTAAAGTCATGTGGGACAGTCTCACATGAAGCTGTATAATTGGTTATTAGCTTCGTAACGGAGCCAACATTTGGCTTCTTAACATTCCTGATGGGATTTAATCAGGATTTTTAACATTTGACTTTCATATAATGTCATGATTATTTCCGCGTTAATTTTTACATTAGCCAGTTTAATTGTTACATAGTTGATCCGCCATACTTTTAAAACAAAAAAATGCATATATTTTTACTAAAATATTATACTTTTATTTATATTTAGTGAGATTATTGTGTATGCAATAGAAATAGTACCAACCTTCATAACACACAATTAAAAAGTTCAAAGTCGATTTATATTTTATCTAATATTATTCTCCGACACGAAAAATTACTTTCGTAATTATTATTCTCTTTGTTTTTGTACTTTAATTATTTTCTATATTTCTTATATTTGAATTATTATTATTTTCTTTTAAAAAATAAATAAATTCCTCATCCGTGGAATAATGCAAGATGGGAGAGTAATATTTCGTATATTATTAATATTATTATTATTATTATTATTATTATTATTATTATGAATTGAATTAGTTAAATTATTACGTACACGTAATTAGATAGGGATTATAGTGTTTTTTCCTGTCTTTTTGTAATTGTATTGTGCACTTTTATGGTACAAATAATGTTAGTGTCGATATTATATTTTTCAACAAATTTAAATAATTTTGTAGTAAATTTTAAGTTTCTCATGTCCTTATATTCCATCGACTAGGGAATCTCCAATTTTTTTTTAAAAAAAAAAAATATATAATTTTGAATTTTTTATTGTGTACTTTTATTCATTTGGAATCTTTTCACCTCCTTCGAGAGACCTAATAAATTTTTATTATGAAAATAGTACTTGTAGGCCTCATTCAATGAAATATTTTGAAAAATTTAAATTGCAATTATCAAGATATTGAGACGAGTAAACTAATATATGTAACAAAATAAAAAAAAATACATTTCAAAGTCGTAAAATGAGAATCTAAACATTGTTGCATTTTTCCATGACATTGAAATAAAATTTCAAATAAGTTGGCACCGGCCACAATCTCTTTGACATGCTCGACGACGCGTATTTGTAGATTTCGTTTAAAATGCTTTTGACTTCTGAAGTCCACGGCAATTTTATTTTATTTTATTTTATTTTATTCTGACCGATGTTCTCGTATGGTCAAACGAGTATTAGTTTAAATCTTTGATATTTGGTGTGAAATGTAAGACTTTTAATAACCTATAGAAATTATATATGCAGATGAATTCAATAAACATGAATTTGTGTTGAAATGAATTTTTTTTTTTTTTAAAAAAAAAAGTCAAGGATTAGAATGGCATATGAGTATTTGTTCATTTACCTTTATTTATTTACTTGGTTTTGTATAATTTGACATTACAGTTGCTTTATTCGAGTCATACTCCACCGAATCATAGCACTGAAGTCCTACGATCTCCATAGTTGAATTTTGGCTACGAAATTAATATTTTAGTAACATTTTTTAGGCCTAGTGCGAATCAGGGCAGATTCGATCCTACTTCATGAGGTAGTGCCCCACAATCACACACACATACCCACATGGGTGTGTGTGAAACATGTGGCTAAAAACTCTATGAGGGCACTACCACGAAATTTTCCGCGAATCAGATGACTTGAGATCAAACCCGTACTTTTCCTATGTATCATATTAAACGTTACTATTTTAAATGTTATTTTTTTATTTTATTTTTTTGTTTGGATGTTGTGATTTGTGAAGCGTTTAAATACTGTATCGGTAGTCATGTCATTTTAACCATTACAATGTGGCATTGCTGATGTAATGGTAATATCAGTGGTATTATCGACAATATATAATAGTATATATAAATATTAATGAAAAAAATAATAGTATATATAAACATTATTATCTCTCTATGTATATTAAACATAATACAGGATGTCTCAATCTTTGATTTAATTTGTAGTGCTTTTTTTTTTTTTGGCCGGAACGATAGAGGAACTATTATAACCAAGCGCACAAAGTGCGAAAAAAGATACAAAGCTCCCAACGGGAGAATGAAAAAAACAACCTAAAACTGAAGACTTGGAGGACAGGTCAGTCGACCGCCTAGAAACCCGACTCTAGCAACGCTAGAAACCAAAAACTGGACTCACAAGACAACTACTACAACAAAACACAACTAAAAACTACAAAGCTCCCCACAGGAGAATCGAGACGGGAGCTGCTCCCCACAGGAGAATCAAGGTTGCTCCCAGTTTGTAGTGCTTCGTAATTTTAAAAATTAAAAAAAAAATGTATATCATCAATTCAAAAAATCAAATATAAATTCATTACATATTAATATATTACAAAATTTTATAGTATAAATTGGGCGAACATAGAAGTGAAAAAAATATTGTAGTTTTTTTCATATTATTTTATTTTACATATATATTTATATATATATATATATATGACTTATTTCTTACATTTTATTTTACGAATTTTAGCATTCACGTGTGTTGTACTAGTATTCATTAAGTCTTAACTCTTATAAATATAAAACCATCAATTTGAAATTTTAAGTTTTCAAAAAATGATTAACTTTTATTTTATTTTGTGAGATTTTGTTTATTCATATACATTACTTCTGGTTAGACTCGGGTGCAATATGTTATTATCATGGACCGGGTAATTAGTGTATATTTAGCCGGATCATTTTTTTTTTTTTTTTTTTAATTTCTTGTAAGTAACATAAACGTGATTTTTGTTTCTTGAAGACCATTAACATAATTAATGAATAAACCAGCCCAAGAAATAAATTTTATTCATTTGACTTCCCCAATAAATGCATTATTTTATTTGTTTTCATAATTTAGTTACATACAATATTGACTAGATCTTCAATTTCCATGGCGTGGTAAGTAAATAAATGATGAATCAGGATTCACATGTTGGAAATTGAAAGTGGGGATTGTACATTAAATATTTTTTTTTAACATATGTATATACTTTTTGAAATTTTGGGGAGTATAAAATTCGCGTTCATACTAAAAAATGAACGTTCATGTAGAATTTGCGGAAACAAATAAGTAAAAGCGAACTAACTTTCAGGAAAGTGTCACACTCTCCTCTAGAAGTCTTTTATTAAGCAAGTGTTTGGCTAATATGCAAGTACAAATAGGATTTAACACAAATACTCTCTCTAAGCTAACATACTTTGTACCCCACCTACTTAACTACTTTTTTGGCCACGGCGTGGACTTATGCACACGTATGGATCTCTCCAAGCAGTATGAAGATGCTCGTCCCAAACACCAAGTAGAAACGAAAACAAGAATTGACAGCTAGAATTACCAGCGATGAACCTTCATGCTGGAATCCGATCACTCTATAAAATATAATAAAAAACTCACGAGCTCTCAATGAATAAAACTCTAAACTCTCTGAATGAATAATGGAATGACTCGTTTTCTATCAGAACTCGTGAAACTAATATATATACAACTATATTCGGCACGTTAATCAGAAATCTGGAGTTTCCAAATTTACTTGATACTCTCGTTTGGCTTTGGAAAGTAAATGCCCATGCGTTGTAGGTCATGCTCGAATATCTTGCCCAGATCTTCCAGATTTCATCACGCATCTCTCTCTTCAGTCTTGCAAATTTTCTTTCTTTGTTTCCATACGAACCTTCGAAAATATATGCTTGCCCGATTTTTTTCCTTTTCTTGCTCGATTTTCCAACTTTCTTTCTCACGATTTCAGCTTTCAAATCTCACAAGAATAATATCTTTCTTTTATCATTTTTGCTCTTCATTAATTAAATAAATATCATAACATATAATAAGAGATTATCAAAATAAGAAAAGAGAATATATATAAAATCTCATAATAAATCTAATATATTTTCTTTACCAATAAGTTAAACAAAGATAATTAAATCCATATAGACAATACGAGAATAATTAAAAAAAAAAAAAAAAAAAACATAATCATAACATTCTTCTTGCCCACTTTATTTATTCCCATACAAGATTCGGTGTTTGAAGGGTGGCGTATAGGCCGTGTTTGGGAAAACACTGTAGAGTATGATGATATTGGATTTTTCAATAGTTGTATGATAAAAGTGTGCGGTGACCTTTGCTCAAAAAATGAATCACGGAAGTGGACAACCAAACAGTCCCTATCACCATTACCATCACTTTTACACTACAAAAAGCATCTTTTATCCTTTTTAATTTCACGTGATTATTCATGGCATTAGATTAGTATTGTGACCCTTTGTCATGATTACGAGATAAATTGATTCCGACGAGATTGCATTAGCATATCTCGACAAATATGATCGACTCGTTTTATTAGTTTGATTGTTATTCCGTCTCTTATTATTATTGTTTATA